TGCCACCTTGGTACATTTGTGAAGTTTTTTTCCAGCAGGAATCCTGATGACAGACTTTTACATTAAGGTCTGTTTATAGCAAATTATGGATGAGGTTCCTCTCCATCACAGACTGACTGAAAGTTTCCAAGCTTTAAATGAGGCCTAAAGGTTCAGATAGTCATTACACATAGAAGATAATTTCTCCACTAGGAAATCAAGTGGTATTACATGACTTGTATTCTGACAAAGACTGTGCTTAATTCATTTGTGATTTTTTCCTAGGATGAGATCTTGACAATCTGAGTGATAGGAAATGTCAGTGAAAACCTTGACATGCCCTCTTGGTGTGGATCACATGATAGGCCAGGCCAGATGCACCCTACAGGCTTTGCCACATTCATCATATTCATAGGGTTTCTCTCCACCATAAATGCTTGGCATGTGATGTGCCAATGTGACTGAAGTCCCCAACACATTCATTGCATTTCTTTTCCTCTTTGGGGGTATGGGAATTGAACCCAGGGACTGAAACATGCTCTACCATCATTTTCCCACTGATCTACATCCCCAGCCCTTTATTTCATTTTGTAAGCATCTCACAATTATGTCCAAGCAGAATTTGCACGTGCCATCCTCCTGATTTTTGCAAAATAGCCGGGATTACAATGTGACCCCCGACCCTGCACACACTGATTACTAAGGCTTCTCTACACTATGGATCCTGCGGTGATGGGCTAGGGATGAGTTCACACTGAAGACCTTGCCACAGTCATTACATTTGTAAGGTTTCTCCCCAGTGTGGATTCTGCGATGACATGCAAGATGTGAATTTTGACTGAAGACCTTGCCACAGTCATTGCATTTGTAAGGTTTCTCTCCAGTATGAATTCTGCGATGACATGCAAGATGTGAATTTTGAGTGAACATCTTGCCACAGTCATTACATTTGTAAGGTTTCTCCCCAGTATGGATCCTGCGGTGATGGGCTAGGGATGAATTCAGACTGAAGACCTTGCCACAGTCATTACATTTGTAAGGTTTCTCTCCCGTATGGATTCTGCGATGACATGTAAGATGTGATATTTGACTGAAGACTTTGCCACATTCATTGCATTTGCACGGCTTCTCTCCAGTATGGATTATCAGATGTTCTGCTAGGTATGAGTTACGGCTGAAGCCCTTGCCACACTCATTGCATTTGAAAGGTTTTTCTCCTGTGTGGATTCTCTGATGATTTGCAAGGGATGACTTCTGACTGAAAACACTGCCACACTCATTGCATTTGTAAGGTTTCTCTCCAGTGTGAATTCTTCGATGTTCTGCAAGGTGTGAAATTTGATTAAAGACCTTCCCACATTCATCACATTTGTATGGTTTCTCTCCAGTATGAATTCTTTGGTGACTTGTAAGGATCGATTTTTGATTGAAGACCTTGCCACACTCATTGCATTTGTACGGTTTTTCCCCAGTGTGGATTATCAGATGGTGAACGAGGTACGAGTTGCGACTGAAGACCTTGCCACACTCATTACATTTGAAAGGTTTCTCTCCTGTGTGAATGGTTCGATGTTGTGCAAGGTGTGAAATTTGGTGGAAGACCTTTCCACATTCATCACATTTGTAAGGTTTCTCTCCAGTGTGGATTCTACGATGACTTGCCAGGTGTGAAATCTGATTGAAGACCTTGCCACATGCATCACACTTGT